CTGCCAGCAGCTCCCATGCCTGGCCCCCAAAGAGCGGGATTCACAGCCCCGCTTCCTGGCATTCAAATCCTGCGTGTGCCATAACAGCACGGGGCCGCTGCTGCCGGGTGGCTTTAAAAGCTTGAGTGCTTCAGTGACACGGATTCCCCCCTGCTGCTTAGAGCAAACACCCTCCAACCCGGCTCCACATCCACAGCCTCCTGCCCACCGGTCCCGCGCTCCCTTCTTCCACTCCAGCTTTCCTGCCTCACAAAGCACCACAGAGAACTTGGATTTTAGCCATTGCTCTTTATTATGGGGGAAAAATGTACAAATTAGTGACTTCTAAATCAGTTCCCCACCCCTTCAACAGTCTGCTCCATCAGACTGCCCCCCAAAATGTGCTTTTACTCCCCTTTCCTCGGCAGCTGCAGCCTGCAGAACCGAGGAACAGTTACATACCACGCTCCAAGGATTCCCTGCCATTTGGGTGAGTTACAGCAATGGAAATAACAGCATAACCTTGAAACACCGATCCCAAACTACAGGTGCTCACAGGGACAAAAGTGGCAGCTGCTGCCTGTGCCCCACACACCGGTGCCCCTTTTGCCACCGAGGAACCACAATGGATCCCCACAAACACTCAGTGTCACCCTTGCAGGAGCAGCCTGAAACAAGGCTGTTCTTGGTCAACTGCATCGCTATTTCCTCTCTTTGGAGACAGCAAGTTGCAGATCAGCACAAGCGAAACTCTGGTTAAAAAGAAGAAGGAAAAAAAAAGTATTTGCCCCAGTTTTCATAGAGACCAAGGTAAATCAATATTGGGCACCCCAAGAGAAGGCATATTACACTATATGTGCTGTTATTACTGCTATTACATGTATGTATTGTGTAACCATGATGCGTGCAATGAGAAAGGCCGTTCTACTGAATGCGGTGCAGCTTGATCGCACAAACCACACGAGCAGAGCTAGAGCTTGTCTAGTCCCCGAGCAAGTGGGGTGAGCAAGGGCTTGCCAATACGACTGCATCCCTGAGCAGCCCCACTGAAGTGCCACGAGTTAAAGTTGAGGCTGGAAGAACACAAGAGAGAGCAGCAGTTCAGTCTCAGGCCCGCCTGAGCTCCCCTCGCTGTATTACATAATGACAGTGCATTTACAGAACCGCTTCCCATCCCACCCTTTGTATAACAAATCTGCTTGAGTTCTACTCATCCAAAAATCGATATAAATTAATACACTGTGTCAACAGACTCTGTTGAAACTGGAAGTTACCTCTCCCAGAGAGGCTATTTTAGAAGTACTCAGGCTACCATTTAAAAACAGCTTAAGATTTTCCTCCACCCACACACAGTCACAATGGAACAAATCCATTTTCCTTCACACTAAAGAGGAAGAACCACCTTTGGAGTGGTTCTAGCTCCTTAATCCTAATATTTAAAAAGAGGATTTTCTTATTGCTACTTCTCTCCAAAAGGAAAAAAGATACCTAGATGCTAAGGAAATATGGAAAAATACAAATGAGTATCACTAATGGTGGATCTACGGTTCTTGACAAACCCTGTTAAACTCCAAACTTCTAATGGTGAGCCAGAGTATAACTGGGGGCTGGAAGTACGAGGGAAGTGCCAGTGTCAGGGCAGAAGAAACATGCCATGATCCCAGTGCTGTTAAAGGAAGTCAACACTCCAAACGATGTCCTCATACCTGGTTTGCTGAGTTCACCTGAAGTAGCCAGAGTAGCTGTTGTGGACGGCGCCCCAGCTCCAAAGCCAGGAGTGCCCAGACACAGAGTGGGGAAGGACCCAAGCGTTAGCTGCTAAAACACTGGATCCTTCCCAGGAGAGAGTGCTTCTTCCTGCACTCTGGAAGAAGGAAAGTGCCCTGGACAGAGCAGGTTTGCCTGGGGTTGTAAGTGGTAAAATGCAAATACTGAGAATCTATGGCCGCCTCCTCCATACTGACATGGTGAACATGACGTGTAGGCAGGAAGATGTTTGATGAGGTAAAAGACAGTAGCACCTCCCTTCTAGAAATAGTTTAAAAATGCCTATTTTTCCTCTTTATATAGATATTTAAAACTTTTTTCTCCTTTTTTTTTTCCAGTAAAACCTGCTAAGGATACAAGCATGATCATCAAAAAATACCAAGTCTGCTCAGAAAAGCTCTTCGTATTTCATTTCTCCATATATAAACTAGTTAAACTTCTGCAAGTGTTATAAACCGGAATCAGATACCAGCTCCCTTTCCCCCCAGCACAGACTCATCACACACACAGACACACACACGCATGCACAGGGTATTTGTTACGTTTCCCTTTTACAGATTAGCTGCTATAAAGGATGATTGTGAGGAGGAGATTGTGAGGTCTGGCTCTCTCGGAGCCACCGTTTTCCTCTACGGTCTTTTACCTGATTTACAAGGCAAAGCTCTACCATTCCCATACATTCATTACAAACCAAAAAATAGTCTTATTGAGGGAGTCGAAAAATCCCGCGCCTGGGGGCGACCCGCAGGTCAGTTCTTGGCTGTTCGGAGCTTCCTGCGGAAATAGTCGGGGGCTGCGTCGTAGAGCCAGTCGGCATCGACCACGCACAGGTCCCGCATGTAGCACTTGTTGGTGTGGAGCAGCCCGTTGTACACCACGCAGGCCGGCTTGCCGTGGAAGAGGACGGAGGAGGGGTGGATGGCTACCAGCTGGTGGGAGTCCACGGTGCTGTAGGTGCCGTCCGGCTGCAGCTCGGCCGCGTTCATGAAGAGGCTGTGAGCCAGGCAGCAGCGGATGTTTCCCGTGTCCGAGCGGGACGACTCCAAGGGCATCGACAGCTGGGAGGACACACGGGGAGAGGTAGCACCCTCAGCGAGAACCTAGCCCAGATTCCCCCAACACCACACCTAAAAAGCTTAATTAACAAGCTGGAGGCTACAGGCCAGCCCAGAAGGGCACAAACCCAGCAGGAGCAGTGCTGATGAGAAAGTTCTTCCTAAACTGAGTGCCCAACTACAGGAAGACAACAGCCAGCAAGGGCTGCAGAGGGTGACGGTGCCCCGTGACACACAGCACTGTCCCACACATCTCCCACCTTAGGAAAATCTGTCCTCTGCCTGAGAAGCCTTCCCAGAGCTCCACGTCCCTTTTCACACATCTCCTAGACCCACTGAACCCCCTATAGGTCTAAGATTTGGGGATGCAATCTTCAGTCAAGAATTTTACACAGCTGTTCATTACAAAATGACACACAAGCAGATTTCTTGCTTCTTTCTTGGCGCACAGGGCACCAAGGGCACTGAGGGCAAAAAACAATGTGAACAGACAAACCAAAGAAACACTGTATGGCAACACATTACCTTTACACAAATGTCCCTGAGCTGAGCTCTGACATCTGACACAAGCATCATGTTCCTGCCGTTGACAAAGTTCTCTTTGCACCATTCCTGCAGCAGAGGCACAACAGTTAGAAGGGGTTGCTTCTGCACCTAAGCAGCATGCCTCTTTTTGGATACCATGGAAAGGAGGATCCTTCAAAACATCTCTTAGAATAAAGGCACTATCTCAGCCCCTGTCAGTTTTCTACCTCTGATTGTGCCCCGTGTCTATTTTGCTTCCCACAGTGTGAAGGAATTGCAGTGTGTTGTTTTCTTCCTGCTCTCAAGGTCATCGAGTGCTGTGAAACAGCACTCAGTATCCCCCAGGTGGCTAAAGCAAACTGCACAAGAACAGTGAGGATACCAAAGACGCTGCAGAGAGTGGGGTGTACCACTCTACAGACCAACAAATCCAACTGAGGAGTTTATATGGTTGAAAAAAATCAACATCTGTCCGTAGAAGCGTTCAGTGTCTTTGCATCACATCCTGACACAGCACAGAGCACGTCTAGGTGTTAATCACCAAGTCACAACATACTCCCACTCCCTCCTGTTTCCAGCTGGAACCAGGCAGGGGAGGGACCTGGCTCTGTGATTACAGAACTGGCCTTAGCGACAACCATTTCTGCTGCAGCTCTCTGGGAAGGGCTACACACTCTGATATCAAACTGTACAGCACAGATAAAGCCTCCCTTCCCACAGGTGCTTTGGATGCATGAATATCATAATCAGCTGTGTAATCTGCTATGTGTAATAAGAACTCCTCACCACCAGCAGCCATGGCATCCCCACAGAATCCTACCTTGTTGCCACTGACATTTTTGAAGGCCCTGTACACGTTGAGCAAGGTAAGATGGTCCCCTTCACTGGAGATGAACTTCTTCCTGACAGACTGCACTTCATCCCGCCGGGCTGGGGGATTGTAGAGGACACTGTCCACAGACAACAGCGATACGATGGTCAGAATCTCTTCCGTACAGTGGAACTTAGGGGACAGAAGGATGGTCTGCAAATCACAGGATAAACTGACTTTTGGTCGACCAAACCCACTCAAGGTGCACAGGCTTTTCTGCTCACTGACAGTCCAAGAACTTTACTAAGCATCGTTCAGCTCAGTTCCATAAATACTTTGGCTTAGAAACACCTGTAAATTCTCTTCTGAGGCCACCAACCACCTTTCACGGTGACTATCATACAATTTCTTGAGATTGGCCAGTCTAGATATAACATAAACATCGTGACTAAAACCCATTAGAGTATCAGCCATATAGTGAATCTGACAATAAAAAGTGTGGCCAGGGATCCTGGAAAATGCAATGGAACTAGACTAGCTTCTGCTTCAGAGATGCTAGCCAAAACAAATAATCCTTTAATATCTCCCTTAAATGAACAGAAAATGACAGGTAAACCAGCACAGCTGTTATGAAGTTAAGCTTCATTCATATACCACAAATATACTACTACAGCTGTAGCCACCCAAGATTTCAAACCTTGCTTAAGGTGTTTGAAACAGAAAATGTATGGAAGATAAAAATAAGATAATTGTTCTGTTGTTTTTACTTTAGAGAACTTTGGTTCCAGTGGAAACGCTGCCATCTTCTTTCCCAGGGGAGTTAGGACAAGCTGGTCTTCCTTTCGTTCCACAGCCCCCAGCAGGTCCAGCTGCTCAATGGCTGCTTGAATTGCATCTGTCAAAACAACAAGATTGAGGAAGGGAGGCCTCTTGGCTGGCACTGGCAGGGATGCCACAGATCAGCTGGCACCCTCACTCTTCCCCTGCCAGTGACAGACAAGTATTTTCTGTTTAGCAAGTTAGATAAGCAGATGCTCCAAACTGTGATGAATCCTCCTTCATCCAGTAAACCAGTCACCATTTCCAACTGGAGCAGCAAAGACAGACGTAAAGCTAAAGGTGCCATCTCTAGTTTTGAGCAGAGGCCATGTGAGATTCTCTACAGCTCTCCTGGCCAAAACTGCTTTTTACTGCGTTTGGAAACTGCACTCATTTGCTCTCTGCCATAACCATGAGTGTTCTGATGAGGCAGAACACAAATGAACGAATCTGTGACTTCATTTACCACCAGAAGATGCAGCAGAGAAAAAGAGCTGTGTTTTCACAGCCCTGAGCTTTCCACACTCCCTCTTTCAGGCTGCCCTGAAGACTGTTTTTAAGCATTGGTGACTCATTTGCTCATTTCTCCCAAGGCTTTGTAACTACTTACCAGGAGACGGTTTGGACATGAAGTCAAAGGTGAGTACGTTGGGAATTCTCAAGGCCAGGAGCTGCAGCATCACACTGGCCAGGTTACACCTGCATAAGCAGAAAAACAACTGAAATGTTTTACTTTATTATTATTATTATTATTATCAGTCTATAAACTGAGACACTTTGGAATCTTAATGCTATAGCTCAAAAGAAACTAATGTAAAGCTGGCTGGTGAAGTCTGACTTCCTACACCAGGATGCTTAAGCTGCAAGTCCAACTGTCCAACCTAGGCAGGTTCTACCTACTTTCTCCATTTAGAGTACACAGTTCATCTTTCTTTAAGTTAACCAGTCAAATCCTAGCTCCTGTTCTGCTGTTCAGTTCTTTACAGCCCTCCATGTAAAAGGGCATAAAAAGGTGCAGAGAGCAGTATGAGAGTTTCAGGGAATCGGTTCTTTCCTCACCTCTGTATCTCAGGTATTGTCATTTTGTCAAACTTCTCAAACTCATCCTCCGTGTAGAGCCGGTAACAGAGCCCACTGTCCTCTCGTCCTGCTCTCCCTGTGCGTTGCCAAGCCTGGGCCTTCGACACGCGCTGGACTGCCAACACTTCCAGACCAACTTCTGAAAATGGAAAAGCATCACTCCAGTCTTTGGAAAACATAACCTTGTGGAACAATGTCAAAAAAACCACGCAGGAGCCTCCCATCCAAACACTGCTCAGACTCTGCTTGGTTCAGTACCCATACCCTGAACTAAAATAAATTACTGTGCATAAGGACAGATTTTTTACCCCCAAATAACTGGTACTTAGTCCAGGATGAGGTGAGCATAGGAGATCAGAAAAATACACATCCAAAACCTGCGACATCAAGTGAGACAGTACAGAGGGTTATTTTAAATCAGCTGCTAGTGGGGCTAATTGCCTCAGATAGCTTGCACAAACCTGAAAATTCTCTCTGCATCGTTCCTTAAAGAAGCACTCACCAGGGTTGTACTTTTTTGCTTTGACCATGCCTGTGTCCACAACATATTTTATCCCTGGGATGGTGATGGAGGTTTCTGCAATGTTTGTGGAGAGGATCACTTTGCGATGACCCTAGAAGGAAGAACAAACTAAAACCAGTTAGAAACCATCTCAGATCAGCTGCAGTGGTGGAGATGCTGCTATTTTTGCCTGCACAGGGAAGACCTCTGTCGCATTATAGCTTGCTATGACCACAAAGCAGGTTTGCTATGCCAGCTCCTGTAAATTAAGATAATCTGTACTCTTAATTGATTTCTAAAGCGCACACACTTCTTGCACAGAAAATACACCAGCTCAGGAGAGCTGTTATCACCACACCTTTAAAGCATTTTGGTCTCATTCCTGGCACAAGCACAGAATTCCTGAAAGAATGGAATTCCCGTTTATCTGCGGAATAGGTACAAAGGACTCGAGGCAGCACAATTTCCACCTCTTCTGGCCCTGCCCAATATGCCTTGGTGTTTACCTCTGTTAGAATTTGGCTGGCCCATTAACTGCAGAGCATTTTTTTTTTGCAATGCAGACATGAAATCCACACAAAATGGTGCAAGTTTCAAATCATCTGCCCTTTTCACTCTCCTTAATCCTACCTTCTTTTCATGATTTCAGGCAATTTATTGTATTTAATTGTTAATACCACCACAGCCGCATCATCTCATGTCACACTAAAAGCACCAAAATCAGTGGAGAATAACTATTACTTTTTATTATCCATATAGACTGCTTTGTTCCATGTGTTTTTTTCCAACCATCCATACAAACAGAAAGATGATTCACCCCATTCATCATCCCATTGCCTCACCTTGGGGGCAGCTTGAAAGACTCGGAGCTGTTGAGAATAGGGCAGAGAAGCATAAAGAGGCATCACCACCATCTGTGGGCAGCCATCAGGGAGATGCTTGGCAATGTCTCGACAGGTTTTAGTCATTGCTTCGATCTCTTCCTGACCAGTCAGAAATACCAGGATGTCGTGAGAAAAAGGTGCTTCCTGGAGGCAGGGGGAAAAATAAGGAGTTCAAATGAAGTTCTTACGGAGAGAGAATAGAGATTGTAATGAGAGCAGATCTTCTGAGATGTTGATCTGACAGCAAGAGAGTGAAGCAGGTAGGGAAGAAAGAAAAGACTTGCGTTCCATGCCCGAAAAAAAGCCTGAAATTCGCACTGGATTCACCAGAAGCAAAGCTTAAAACAGCATTTTGCAAGATCGAGTCCAACATGATGGAGGAATCACTCAAATTCAAACATGTGTTTTGTTACATAGCCATCCAGGCAGCAAGTAACCAGTACTCACAGAATCCAGTAATCACGGAAAAAAAATCAAATGACAAGAACATTTAAGTATTAGGTACAAGCTGACACCCAGACAGCTTTGCTTAGCCAGTCTCCTTTCAACTCCAGCCTCAGTGTGCAAGTCCCACAATCCCAGCAACAAGAAGGACCTTCTAAGCTTTCAGTGAAAGATAATAAACAATTTAATTAAATGATGTAACTATCTGGCAGTTTCACATTCAAACATTTACTGCCAGCCAAAAAATACTTATGAAGGGTCCTTTTTTAAGTTTTTTACTTGATAAGTCACTATACCTGGTGGATCTGGAAGACTGACACCAGTGCTGCTTGTAGGTAATCGCTCTGAGGCTGCTTGGTGTAAAAGATCTGAATGGGATGTTGCCTGCCCTCTAAATAGAGAACAGGAGCTCCATTGAAGTACTGGGAGAACTGGTCCACGTCCATCGTAGCTGACATGATGAGCACCTTTGATACAAGCATAACACAGGGGTTTGTCCTGTGACTCACTAGAACACTTGCCCATCAGGACTAGACAAAAACTACAAAGACGCTGGGAAACCCCAGCAGCGACTCGCAGTGCCTTGAGTCCTTGCCCCATCCCTGCCCTTCTCTGCCACGCCAGCCCCACTTACTTTTAGCGGCAGTTTGCCCAGTTCCTTTCGCTTCTTCTGGGCGGCTTTCACCACCCCGAAGAGCACATCAGTGTGGATGGTCCTCTCGTGGGCTTCATCCAGGATGACAACGCTGTACTTGCGCAGCATGGGGTCCCCAATAGCTTCGCGGAGGAGCATCCCGTCCGTTAGAAACTTGATCCGAGTTTCATCGGACGTAAGATCGTCGAAGCGCACGGTGTAGCCGACCTGAGGAAGCACAGGCACAGAGTTATTCACACTCCTCATTGCCACTGTGGCAGTAAAGGACCTCAAAGTGCTTTGCCCGTCACATCAGCCAAAGACAAGCAGGGCTGTGGGAGAGCTCTGTGAAGCATACTGTGTTTTTGCAGTCTGTGAGCTGCTAACCCTGGGAATCTAACCTTCCAGCCCAGAGGAAGCTCCCCACAATGTGATATAATTAGCCTTTTCCCAAACTGGAAGCTCATCACAGATGCTCCCAGCTCTCCTTGCAGTGAACCTGGACTTCGGATATAAGCAGCACTGGAAGAGAAGGCCTAGGAAGACAACGCTATTCTTTTCCTTTTATTCATTAACTATTTCTTTTTTTCTTCAAATAAAGCAACATTCATGACAACCAAGGGGTAAAATGCCACAGAGAGAATCAAAGCTGGTTCACTCTGAGCTGCAGAAGCAAAGAGGCTTCTTCTCCATTTAGGCACATCATTAAATGAAGACTATGCTTATCTGTGGTCTTAACTTCCTTTTCTTACTCATTCAAGCCACAATACAGCCCAGTTGACACTGCAGCCTAAACCAAAGCTCTAAGGACTTTGCAAAGCAACCTACCAGTTTCCCCAGCTCTGTCTTCTTCTCATCTGAGACTCTGGTGGCTAAAGATATCGCTGCTACTCTGCGAGGCTGCGTCACCGCGATGACTCCCTGGCGGCCGATTCCCGCTTCGTAGAGGTACTGAGGGATCTGAGTGGTCTTTCCTGAGCCCGTTTCTCCTGAGGAACAACAGCAAACAGAGTCTTTCGCATCCTCAAATGATGCTTTATGTTTCAAAGGAAAGTTATAAGCAAATCAAAGCAGAGTTTTCGTTACAACAGCACTTGGCAAGCTGAGGTTTGAGGCTTAGAGGCAGACTAAGGGGTGCAGCAAGGCTTCCTCAGCACCTTCCTGGAACCAGAGGCTGCTCCTTCGGGCTCAGGTGAACGTCTCCTCCGTTCCTACAGCGCTAGTGCTCAGTGTGACAAGCACTGTCCCCTTTTCCCCACGGGTACTTCCAGTACAAGTCATGAACACGACTGCAGACAGCAACAGTGGAAGGAGCACAGGGACACGTGCCACTGCAGTGCACAGAGCACAGCACGGACAACAAAAAGGGTAACTCACAGGGGACAGAATAAGGCAGCACAAATCCCAGTGCTTTGAGCTTTGTCTGAGATTGCAGCTCGCACGGAGGAGCAGAGAGAGTTTTCAGCATAACCTTGGTTTTCCTGTGCATTTTATTAGAGCCTAAAACACCCCTTACAAGCATGACTATCTCCAAAGAAGCAGCCCAGCAGCCCAGGTCTGCTCGCAGGACAGCCCCAGCACAGCACACAGCAGTGAGGTGGGGACTCGAAGAAAAGGAGGAACAGAATGAGAAAGGCGAAAGGACAAGCAGCAAGCAGAGGAGAAGGGGAATGTGGAGTGCAAGCCCTGCGGCTGCAGGCTGGAAAACGCAAGAACAGCTTTTTAGCTGCCTCCTCAGCAGCAAAACTCGAAGTGGCACCTTGCAGTGTACATTTAGCAAGCAGGAATCTGAGGATTACACAGAGGAAAGGAGAGAGCCACAGTCCCACCTATCAGCCTAAAAATTCACCACAACTGATTTTTCCAAAGCACTCACTTACTGGGAGGCCAAAGCACAAAGTGTTTTGTGATCAACCCTAATAAGTTCTAATAACTGCTCAAAGGGGGTTTCCAGCTGCAGTTGCAACATTTTTAGCTCCTGGATGTCACACACAAACCATACCAGCTTGAACTCAAATAATATGCATACAATATAATAATACAATTTATTATATTAGAGAAATAATATTAAGATATTATAGCATAAATATTAGAATATTACAAATAAATAAATTAGGAAAATAAAATTAGGATGTGCCCCTGCAAACGTGGATGAGCACTTAGAGACTCTCCCGTTTAGGTTTAAACCGGCGGTTTCCGCGGTGACAAGGAGAATATACAATAAAGACGCCAGTAACTCGCAAAGCGCCGCCGCCCCCGCGGTTCCCCCCGGGGCGCCCCAGCGCGGCCCGGCCCCGCACTCACCGATGAGCACGGCGCAGTGCAGGCCGCGCAGCTGGCTCAGCAGCGGCCCCCGCGCTACGTCACGCGCCGCCGCCCACGTGACCCGCGCGGAGCACTGTGGGGGATGTAGTTCCCTGCACGCTCCTGTAGGCCACCAGCACCCTGAATAATCACATATATTTAGTTACAGAGGGTAGTAAATGATTCGTGTTTATATTATATACTTATAATATGAACATAATATTCATCATTAACAATGAGTGATTCGATATGAATAATAATGATGATGAGTATTCATCTATATTCTTTTAAGAGGTTGCCAAGAGGGGTTGTGGTCTCCTTCTCAGGCACTATTTAAGATCTACTTGGACACAACACTATGTAACATGCCAACCTTAGGGGTTTGGACTAGATGGTCTCCAAAGGCCCCTTCCAACCTTAAGGATTCTGTGATCACATTTAAATATGACTTACTTAAATATATATAACTATATGTTAATATGTATTTGTGGGTTTTAATTAAACCACTGGAATCGTCTTCACGAGCCCCAGGGCTGAGCTTTCCTAGCCTAGCGAAGCCCGTTATTAGCCAAACCTGCCCCATAGAGACGCCTGGCCTGCAAGCAGTGTCCCTGGCTTGGCCTGGGCACCTGGTCCCCCACTTCTGGGCTTTGGGGCTCGATACCAAGGGTATCTGCTTGTGTAAAAGTCCTCTGTGAAATTCTAATGAGAAGTATTAAACAGTGTTACTAAGTTGCCACTCACTCCCTTCCTTGGGAAACAGGAAGCTTTTCATAATATTCAGAACAGTCTGGAGAAATTACTAAAACCTTAATGCGTGTGTTTGGGGCCGAGAATACAGAGCTTCCTCATAAAAACGAGGATTAGGATTTCCTCCTTATTTCCTAAGGATTAGGAAACACTTAACAGGATGTTTCATTCCTTTATGAGAAAAAACATACATAACCATCAGTGTGCTGATGATTATATCACACTCCTCCAATTTAGGGTTATAAACAGCAACTTCTTAAGGTTAAGTCACTATGAGAAGTGCAAGAAACTCAAAGAGCACCAATGCAGACTGTGCAAAGTAGATGCTTCACATGCAAATCCAGATCTAGAAATGGTCCACAGATGTTTCCTCTACTTACAAGGCGGTAGCCATGTCCAACAAAATTACTTACTCTTTAAGGGACAGAAGGCGCAAAGATGGCTTTCAAGGACTACTAAAACACAGGTTAGACTATCTGCCAGTGATAACATACATGGTTTGAATTTTGCTCTGGGTTAAAACTAAGTAGCATTTCCAAGTCTCTCCCAGACGTGGATACTGCGGTATTAGCTCGTAAAGGGAAGCATGTAAACTTAAGTATTCCACCAGTGTGGCAGGAAGCGTGCAAGGAAAATAATTTTGGAAGATTGAGAAGGGACGAGCAATCTTGTCAACATATCACTTGCTAAGGGCAGCAGGTCTTTTGCAGGTAGGCACACTGCCCGCTTCACAGCGGGGCTTTGCATTTACAGTGGGTTTTATCCCAGCTACAAGGCTGAGCTTTAGCTGCAGCCCCACTCACTAACATCCCACCAGGAAACTGCTGAGAAACTATTAAATGCAAAACTAAAAACATCTTTTAATCAACTTCCTGTCTTAAAAAGCAGTCATTAAGCAGAATTACCTACATTTCTGGAACTCCTAGAAAACAGATTTAAAAGGTGTTCTGGGAAAGAAAAATTCATGTTTTTCATAACCCTTAAAAAGGAAGGCCCAAATATAAACGGCTGCGCTAAATTTGTTTACCACTTCCAATACACTGCTTGGGAACAATGCTCCTGACTGATTAATCAATCTCCTGGATTACAAACATGTAGCAAATTTAAGAATAGGAAAAGCTGAGACTAAACAACAAGACAATAAGACTAATCTCAGATCCATGTAAGACTAGCCTTCCTAAGACTGAAAGTAACATTTTTTCCAGCAATATTTTACTGCTTCTTTCTGTTATGACATAGTAGAGAGCTACTTGGTGCCATCTATAGAGTCAGAAGAGTGATTCAGCTTTACCAGCTGAACTGTATTCCCAACTGTTTATATGGCTCCCCTTACAGAAATTTATATTAATCTAACTTTAAACTAAATCCCACTCAGTGCCACTGATTCTTTCTGGACAGATGTCCCTGCCACTCAATCCTCCTACAACAAGTTTCATATATAGAGGAAAGATTGAGCACACTCACTGAACAGCCCTTTTTTCCTAGCAGTTGTGGGAGAAGCTAGCACTAAACTTGCCTCTTCAGGGATTTTTTTCTCCCCCCGCCCCACATCTCTGCATTTTTCCTCCACCACCTGCCCCAAGACTGTAAGATTACACAAAAAGGTAACCAAAAAGGATCCACAAGACATTTTATTCAACTCATTGTCTGAGGTATTCAGCAGTTCAGACTGCAGACAAGCTCTTCTCTAATACTCCAAATAATTTAATGACTGCGTTGGGGTGGGTGGGGGGTTGGATTTTGTAAGAGAACCTATTATATTAAGACTCAAACTTGGTCATCTGAACCTAGACTTGTTGTGGAACAGCCTACCAAAACAGTCTCAGCCTGCAAGCCTATTCACACCAAGGCATGTCCCAAAAACCATACAAAACTGGCAAAATAAAAAGCCTGCATTATGCTAACATTGTATTTCTTAAAATTTGGCTGGGACCAGAGACAGGAGCGGCTCAGACTAAAAACTTCTGCCACTGAAAGAGAAATTTACACTTTCAACCATGTTGTAAATTCATTTATCTAAGAATTAAAAAAAAAAAGAATTTAAAACCAATAAGTTTTATTCTGTCCCCTGTAGAGTTTACCATATAGTTTCCTGTATAAAATAACCGGGGGAAAAAAAAAAAAAAAAAAAAAAGCTTTAGAAATCACTTTGAACAAGTACTCGTGGTCTTATTAACCAAGGTTGACAGGAAATGGTTTCCAGTTTTAGTTTTTTGGCTCCACTAGATTGATATTTTCATTACCAGTGCAAAACATCCCCTCACCAGGGAAGGCACTGGCAGCTTGGAAGCTTCTTGGATCAGACCACCATTTCATAAAGTGCTTGTATTCAGAACCAGAGAGCTTTCAAAAAGTGTCCTTTCTGTGACGAGGAAATAAGAAAGTCCCCGATATGGTACTTCAGTTAAGTCTCTCCCAGCTATTGCTGGGTTTTGGCACGGCCACCTATTAGCCTCCAAGGCGCTGACCTTCTCCCCAGGCAAATCCTCCCGGTCGCTCTTCTGGCAAGGGATTGTAGTTAGGATCATCTTCTGGTGTATCAAATATTGCTTTCCTGGAAAACAGAAAAGGCTCTTACTATTTGTTTAATAAATATTTCACAGGAATAACAAGACTGCTCTAATTCTTCACACACGGAGGGTTCCCTTCAGAACAACCTGTGAATGCATCAGTGATCTACAACCCGAGCCATACATGTAGTGCAGCCAGGAGACATCTGAACAGCTTCACAAGACAGCCCTTAGAATAGCTAAAGGGATTGAGCAACACGATATTCCAGAAAAGTTTGCAGAAAGCAAAAACCAGAAAGCACTAAAAGTATTACAGGATTCCAGCTTACACCAAGAAAGTGAAAGTACCTGCAAAAAGATTAACAAACCTAAACCCAGACAAGAACCATAAGCAGCCTTCTGAAAATAGACATGCAAAAAAATTTAACTATTTGAGGGGATACGACGATCTTACCAGAGGTTGATTTCAATGAGTTATAAAGACTTTTCTATTTCAGCACATTTTAAAATCCATTTCAAATCAGAAACCTGCACTTACAGGACAGATGGTGTTCTCAGAAGCCTCCCACCACCAGGCTGATTGGGAAAGACGTCTTCTAGGAAAAAATATATATGTCCAACTGCAATGCCTAGTACATAAAGAAACGTCAAACGGTGATTTTCAATACTTTTACAAGTGCTCCGCTAGAGTTCTCAGAAAAAAAAAGCAAAAGTTGCTTCCCTTCACAGAAAATACAACGGAAAAGAAAAATATGAAAAAAACAATGAAGTAAGGTGGTATCAGATGAAATGTGTAACGTACACTGCAAGACATTAACAAAAGAGAAAACAACTTGTCATTATTAAACATGACATTATGGCTTTACAAGAATAAATATAGTAGAATATGTTAATAATTTCATATTAGCAGACTGATACACAATGTGATCATGATTTTCTGGGATGTTTTCAAGCAAAAAAATTTGTTTTTATCCCTCTTACAGCACTAAAAACAAGATGCTTAGAAACCAGGAAAGCCTCATGTAAATGAGCTACTATTAGGCACAAATAGGAGGCATTTAGCTGTTTTTTTCCATGCCACATTTCCCCCCTCCCATGTAAAACACTGGCAGGATCGGATTCTTACAATTCTTGCAATTTCTTACCCAGAAGATCCACAATGATGGAGTTCCCCAAAAGTAGTGAAAAGCCCATCAGCACCCAAGGTAGAAATGGAGCTTGAAAGATGAGAAGACCAAAAAAGTTCATACGGACATAGGGATTCCTGCGGCTCCATACATACACAAGCATTATTGTGAATGCCTGACCCAAGAAAACCAAGTTTACAAACAAGCCAAAAAGCTAGGACAGCCAGTTAAAGAAAACAGTTCACAGTTATGAGTCACTTAAAATAACTACTTTGAGATTAAACATAATAAGAATTTGACATCTTGATCAGTTATCTTATGTTCTTCATATAGTTCCTCCTTCTACTTCCCTGGGTTTAAGTAAATCTGATCTATTGTCAATCAAATTCAAAACTTACAGCAGGACTTAGAATATCTGCAACATAACTTTATTTACAACATAACTTGGCATAAAATCACCTAAGCATCTTACCTGAGAATCTAACTTCCCTAGCCCTAAACCTAACATTAGAAAGGCTAAATATCAGCTCTAAGTCTGACAGAACTGACACACAAAACATTCAAAACTACCTCATCCCTCATATCACAAAGTATCTCAGCATGCGAGAACAAAGAGCATAACAACATAGTTTAATTTCTCATTCACACATCTTTACCTTTAATAATACAGTTAGGAAAATAAAAAGGATACAGTCATTAAAAGTCCACCAAAAAGGAACATAAACACAAAATCTGCCGTCCGACCTCGAAAAGAGCCTTCTTCAAGCATTCGGCAGTAACGATATCTGAAGTCACAGGTCAGGAAAGTTTGATAGTTTGATAGTAAATGAATTCAACAAAAAAAGTTAAGTAGAAATGGTTTCAAATATACATGAAATTGCACGTAAATTATATACCAATTTACTTCATTAACTGAGTGCCTCAGCAGAGAGACCAGACCCTGGATTAGTCCCATGTGCCAAGACCAAACTGCTTGAAATCCCAGCAAGATCAGGCTTGTAGACATAAGTTTGACATCACAGATATAAATGGCAAAATTCTTGACAGCTTGAAGCAGCTCCCCTCAGCGAAACCAGCACCACTAAACTCCCAGTAACCTCACAGGGAGACAGCACTGAACCTTTTCACAGCAACTTGCCCAGACACTGGAGCTTTGCTCTCCAGGCAGAAGAAACAAACTTGAGGAAGGATACAAAAATATCATGTTAAATAAAAAATTAAAGCCAACTGGTCCAAAAAATAAGTAGTTTGTGATTAACCTCCATACCTGAAAATGAGACAAACACAGGGAATTTAAACATGAAATTTTTTTTCTTTTTTAGTTGTCTAAATAAAAGGTTATAAATAACCCAAACTAGGCTCCTTTATAGCCAGAATCTAAGACTTGGACTAAGATACACAGAGCTCCCTTTCAGCTTCAGTATTAAACTGTAAGCTTAATAGACAAGACAATGGTCATTTATAACAGGCAGTTCTGAAAACACTTGCGCTTAAAAGCTCAACAGCTTTCTCAAGAGCCGTCTGCTTTAGAACACACTTACTTGAAAGTGCTTAAATATTAATTCGGGGTTGAAGTACAGCTGGAAGGGCGTGATGAGCTCTAATTGCTGCAAGAGAAGAGAACACGGGAGGAAATCAACGCGCGGAGCACGGGAGAGCCCCTCGCGCTGTGAGGAGGGCCCAGCGCAGCTCCTCGGCTCCCTCAAGGGGTCGGTGCGCGACCGCCTCGCCCCGGAGGGCGCCCGCTCTCCCCGCGGCGGCGCTCACCACGGCGGCGGTGGTGAGGACGCAGGCCGTGGTGTAGGCCCGCGTCACGGGCGGCACCTGCAGGTACTCCTGCCGGAACGTCTGGTACGCCATCTTGGCGCCCCGCCGCCCGGCCCGCTTCCGCTTCCGCCCCGCGGAACCAATGGGCGCCGGCAGCGGCGGGGCTAACGCGCTGCGCTCTCATTGGCCGAGCCCGCGCGCTCCGCTCCGCCTCTCTTCCCGCCTCTCGAGGCGGCGCGCTCGCTGATTGGCCGGCGCCCCCGCCCCTCGCGGCCCCACCCCAACCAAACCCGATCCGGTCCGGTCCGGTCCGATCCGCTCCAGTCGCCCCGGGGTAGCCGCGGCTGAGGGGAGGGACGACCCCCGGCTGCAGCAACTGGCCGGGGCCTCCCGTGGAAACCATCGACGTCCTCCAGCTGCGCCGCCGCCCTCTTCCCCGTGTTGTCTTCGCCCTCCCGCGCCAAGATGTCGGTGAACCCCATGGCCTACGAGGCGCAGTTCTTCGGCTTCACGCCCCAGACGTGCATGCTGCGCGTCTACATCGCCTTCCAGGACTACCTCTTCGATATGATGCTGGTGGTGGAGAGCGTCATCCTGAAAAAGCTGGAAGGCTTCCCCGACGCCAAAATCAGTCCCCTCCAAGTCCGGAAGAGCACTGAAAAGTTTCTGCTCTTCATGAAGGAGCACTTCGATCAGCTCTTCAGTAAAATGGAAGAGGTGCTTCTGCAGCTGGTGCTGAACGTGCCCAAGCACGTGCTGCTTCCCGAGGACAAGGTCCACGAGCAGTATTCCTACACAAAAGAGCAGTTCCAGGCGCTTCAGGAGGAGATTCAACAGCTGCAGCAGCAGTACAGGGCCGAGGCATCCGCCGGGCAGGCACTTCTCGCCGAAATTGAGGAGCAGAAGTGTGTGCAGGCTGAACTCGAAAAGACTTTGCGGTGGTTTGATGGGCTTGAGAGCATCTGTAGAGCGCACGGGACCAGCAACTTCAAAGAAAGCTTCGCATTCCTGACACAAAAATCCAAGAAACTCGAAGACGTGCTAAAGGATCTTGAAAAGAAAAGCAAAAAACTGCATAGTAGTGATCAATTAGCGTAATGGGAATTTGGAAAAGACAACACGAAAACCATTAAGACAGCTCACGTTATAATAAAGATGTAGCGCCTTTCCAGCAGTCTCTTCTCTAACCCTGCAAGGACCAGAAATCTCAGTACTGGGTTTTGCTGAAGTGTGTTAGTTTGCATCAGCTTAGCTAGGATATAGAGAGGAAAAAGCCTTGGTTTTCTGGGAAATGTAAAAAAAAAGTGGTGATCAGGAATAAAATTTGTGTTGGAGAACCTGATTGAAAGTAGTTTCCTGACCTTAAGAAAGTTGCCTTTTAACACAGAATATCATTGTGTATTTTAAGGTTAAAAAAAAATGTCCAAGTGAGATTCCAGACTGGTACTAGTTCAAAAATGAAGTCTGTGCTTTTGTCAGTGAGGACATAAACTCTTCATACTGTTTTTATAAGCAGCTGTGTTATAAAGGCTCTTTAAGGCTAAGGTACCTGTTTAACAAACAGGAAAGCCATAAAGAAGAAAAGGACAAAGACACTTGTCAATCCTCTGATGAGAAATAGATCTGTTTGCATCAATATTAAATTTCAGTCCTTGGAACAGTTTCTGAGATATAAGGGTTTATTACCACTTAACATGGGTGTTTTGGAAGGAGAGGATTGTGTTTTCATTGAGCAAGAACAGGGTGCAGCTTAGATTTAAAAATCAGAAAGCAATTAGATCACTTTTCTAGCTTATATTGCCTTATTTGAGTTGTCTAGAATCCTTTTTCTATTAAATAACAGCTATTTTTCTTTACGTATAATCAGATATTTTCTGTGTGTAAATTGTGAAGACTGACTGATGAATTCTTTGAAGTCACTTAATTAAGCTTATTCTCTCTGTACTGGAGTCAAGTTTTACACAGCAAGTGTGGATCTTTTCAGTGGCCTCAGAGGCTCTGAATCTCCTGTACAGATCACACTTTTTTTTTCCAGTAAGTTTTAATACTCATTTGTACTTCGGTGACCAGAGTTGTTTGAAATATATTAAACTTCTGTGTAACTTAGGAGTCTTTGCAATAAAGCTGTACTAAAAACATAATACATTTTTCAATCAATTCTTTCCAAATATCTGAAGAGTTCACATACAATCAGTTTAATAAGGCCAGGATTGACTTCTTTTGTTGAATTTATTCTTTTCATGCTTTGAAATGATCAGTGAAAATAACCATTTACTAGCTAATGGAGGTGCTCAACAGGACATTCATTACAGTGAAAACTTCTTTGGTTAGGGCTCTCTAGGTGAGATTAAATGATGGCTGATGACAAACCATTTAGTCCAAATATATTGCATAGGGAGAAAATCATACCCATAAAACAAAAAGGAGACTTGCCATAAGCTGTCTGGAGATACCACCTGCTTTTAAGATTTCATTAACCTAATTTCTCCTCTTCCTTTTGTACATAAAATCAATTCTAGGAATATGAGTCTTTAACGGCAGGGGGGCAAATACTGCATGAAGGCTGTTGCCAAGTATAATCCCTTTCCAAAGGTAATAAAAGGCCTCACCAGGAGTTCCACTATATTCCATTTAAGCAATATAACAAACCATTTTATGAAAGAAAACAATGCTATTTTTAAATGGTTACCTAAGAAATTCAAGTGTTTTTTTTTAAATACTTTCTAATAACATTTTAAATAAAGTGTTTAATGAACTATAAATCCACAGAGGTTTCAGTGGAGGGAAAAGAACGTTTTGTTGGACGTCAAGTTGTCTTATGTAAACATGTTACTACCATAGAGTGAAATCCCAAAAGCTTTAAAGGGAATCTGGCAATACTAATTATTTGCAGGATGTCATGCAAAGCCTCCAGAGAATCCAAATATTTTGTCATTCTAAAATACAATTACCAGTTCTCTGAAGGTCAGATAAGCTTATATAATGTATATAGCATTTCTAAATAACCACAGCAGTGTGTGTGGTTTTTTTGTTTTTTTGTTTTTTAAGCATATGCAAAATTTACAGGTTCATAGATAATATCCTGGCTTGCAGGGTTTTGTTGTTGGTTTTTTGTTTGTTTGTTTTTATAGAGCACTCAAGAAAATCCAGTTGGGCCGGGTGATCTGCATGTTTATCAACTAGGTGCCCGCATAAACAGCAAGTGCCTGCAGCTGTCTTCAGATACTCAAAAAGGAGGATTTGCCTGGGGAAGACATTCCCTAGAGTTGTCAAAAATGCTGGTTTTGTGGTTTCGCCTTCCTATAAAGCAGCTTTCCTCCCCTTCGCTTCGTTCCTCGCATCCCGCTGCTGCTGGGATTGAGCGCTGCCAACGCGCTCCCCGCGCGCCGGGAGGCCTCTCCTGCAGCTGAACGTAAGTGCACGTCAGACATGGACTAGATAACGATGATTTACACGGGTTCTCGGTCTAAACTGCGCCGAGTGCTTGTTCCAATCCAAGGAAACACGTGTAAACACATAAAAAAAGAACAAAAAAGTTTTACTTGTGTATCTACACTATCAATTACAGATTAGCAAAGAGTGTTTGGAAATGGGAGAAAATACCTGTCACAAGGTCTGGGGACACAGATAAGTTGAAAGTAGCAAATCAATATTTTCAGCAGAGGCATCATAGAGGAATTAGTTTTACTTTACAGCTCAAACTTGCACTTCTGCATGTTTCTAGGCTACAGTTTTTACTTATCATTTCAAAGGGAA